CCCACCTTCCCTCCCGGCTTTTCTCTATGTTTTTCAGTGTTGTTGCGTAGCCCTTTTCTTTTTTTTGTAATTCTTTTGTGGTTATTTCAATACAGTCAAGCCGCTCTCCCTCTTGTTTGGTGTTTAACTGTAGTAACCACAACATAAGCTGACGTGGAGGTACTTAACTTTGGGCAGAGAAGTTTGTTAAGAGTTGGTTAGATCAGTTGACGGGAAAAAACGTAATTCTATCCATATCTGATTCATTTTCTGTATATAAACAAATGTATAATTAAGTGACAATCAATAAGAACAATTTCCTTGCTTGGCCAGTTAACTCCTTTTCTCTCTTTCCAGCCAAAATATCTATGAAGTATCTATTTTCCCCATTTATTTAATCTGATTTCCGAGCTTCTTCTTTATTTAGCTCCTAAAAAAATCCAGCAAATGTAAATTTGCCGGGAAAAGAAAAAAGAGAACTGAAATTGACGTATAGGACCCTAATTACTTCGAAGCACAGGCAATTCTAATATACAGTATCAGCGGATTTTGTTATTATTCTGTGTACAAATGCAAAACGAGTGGAGCCACATACATGTATAATTCAATGTATTTCTGAGTGATGAATAGGATTTTCATGGATTACCTCATCGGCTGGGGCAGGAGGGTGATGAGTATCGCTCTGAAGTTCTTCCGCCGGTGCTTCTTCGTTACGTTCAGAAGGCGATTCCGGTGGAATTGACATGGCTGAGCTACAGATTCTAGGGTTTTCGCGCTCTTTTATCTTTCTTTTTCCCTTTTAAAATGGTGGAATTGATGGACTGAGTTTATATAGCGGACGGTGTCGTTGCATTTTTTGGGAATTATTATAGTTTAAATTATTGTGGTATTGTAATAACAATAAAGAAGAAGTAGAATATTGCAGAGAAAAATAGAGAAAGATAATTTTTATTGATTTGAGATAAATTATAATAGAACAGAACCCTTATATTTATAGATAAAAGTGACTAGTTACCAAGTAACAAACCCTAGAATCTCTCTAAAATAAAGATATTCACCTTAAATACAATTCTATTTATAACACTCCCCCTTGAATGTTTATTCAACAGATAATGTATCTCGTTAAAATCTTAACTAAAATAAAATCCAGTGGAAAAAAAATTCTAGAGAAGAAAAAAGAATACACGTGTTTAAAAATGCGCCTTTTGGTTACCTCGTTAAAAACCTTGCAAGGAAAACCCAATGGGACAAAACCTTGTAACGAAAAAATAGTACAACGCATATTAACTCCCCCTCTTGAGAGCATCAATTCACATCCTTGAGCCTTCGCATCCCAATATTGTGCACTAGCTTCTTGAAGGTTGACATCGGCAAAGATTTGATGAATAAATCAACCATATTAACTCCAATGAATATGTTGCACCTTGAAAATCCTCACTATCACATTATCATGCTTATAGTTATAGCAAGATACATATGTGCATAAATTGCACTTAAGATTGTATATGCTTTAAGTGATTTGAATCCTTCAGGGATTGTCATATAAGTTAAGTCATATAAGCCATTTAAATAGACTTTAGATGCATATCAAGTTTTCATGTCATGATACACATCTAAGATAGACAAAAAATATTGCACACACCATTGACTTTGTACTTTCAAGTGTTTGAACTGTAGGTCCAAAACTATATGCCTTTCATATGAAACAAATTATATTCGAATTCTGTCTCTTTCATTTGGCAATATTTTTATGTCCGTATTCAACAGATTTAAGATCCCCATCTATACTTAGCGTTGTCATAGATGTCTCCGACGAACATTTTATATCGGTTCCAATATTTTTTCATAAAGACATAACATAGAGATCTCTTTATTCATATTTTCAGGTACCTGAACCTCTCCTGAAATTTTATGAAATGTTATGTCATGTGATCTTCTAAATCACTTGCCTCCTTATTATGATCTGTTTGATCATTTGCACATCTTCTTTATCAAGAATTTTATTTGAAACCGATTGGTCTATACGCTTTGAGCGTACTATAAACTTTGTCCTTCTATGACTTATTCTAATAGGAGCATTTGCAGTGAGAATATAGTTACTTTCTCTAGGTCAGCAAATGCATATGGCATGCTTTGCAATATATTGCAGATGAATTATCTTTTTATGAACTTTAAGTTCATATTATCTTATTCGAGGATCTAGATGTAGAAATGATAATTCATTCCACATAACTTTTTTTCTCAAATGTTTATCATCTCTCCCCCTCATGTTAGAAAAACTAACTTGCTTCCTCAACTTTGAAAACCTATCTTTGTGCGTTATGGTATTAATCAAAATATACACTGCACATCAATAATAATAAGATGAAATTATTTAGTTCCTGACCCTGAACTACTTGTGAGGGGAGGATGTAATATATATTCGTATATAACGTATATCAAACTGATATCGATAACTTTGTTCTCATAAGTAATAGTTTAGCTATTAAGTGGATACACTCAATAAACTATTTTGCTAAACCAACTGTGATGTAAACCAACATATCAAGATGAACTTCCTTGAATAAAAAATCTGAAAATTATATTCTAAATTAAATTATTGGGCAAATTACCTCGCAAACATTAGGTTGCGGGTTAATAATAATCTCGCATGTAACCATCTTATAGATGTATCTTATGTAGTATACATGGCAGGTGAATGAGCCCATATTCACCTTTGCTATTTCCAGTATTCATGGCATTCGATCCCAACTTTAGTTGGTCTATTAATTAACGAGAACAAATAAAATAAGGGAATTCGTAAAGAACTTTCTAGTTCTTTAATATTTTACCCATGTGAATTCTCTTTTATTTTTGCACATCATACTTAAATTAACATGGCTAAATCAATTATGCCAACTGGATAAATTATCAATATTGATAAACTTCAGGTTCACACCACGACGTGTGCAATTATCAATAAACTTTTACTTTATTGTGGTATTCTTTTATGCGTATAGTACAAACTGAAGAATAAAGCGGGTAACTTTTCACATACATATTACGCCGCTACAAGTTGTAGTAATAGAAGATATTAAGTTTTCTCATTATTTATAGTCTCAATATAACCAACCGCTTTCGCGAATACTTTAGAAACTCAATAAATTTCTTTGAGACTTACTACAACACAATACCTTAGTGATAATCAATTTTATCTCTCCAAAATAGTATAATTGGCTCTTCCGGGGCTCTCAACTAATTTCGTACTACCACATATTCATCATCATCCATATAGTGAATATCTCTTTCAAGGAGAAAGCTATACCATTATGGTCATGGTCAAAATCATTATAGGCAAGATATGTTGCTTCCATTACTTTTGCCCTGTAATAGTCACATTGCCATTATATTTTGGCATAATCACAATAGGTACGTGGTCAATGATCATTCATGCCATAATAATAAAATTATTTTCTTATTTCATCTCAAACCTCCTTCTAGAGGTGAGTGTGGTATATTCACTACCGCTAGCACATTCATATTCTTCCAAAAATGAATATATATTCATAAATCACATGTTGTCACATTCACATCATGAATGGACCATAATCATCTATATGTACTTTACAAAATTTCATGTCAAATCGATGATAAATATTACTTTCACAGAGTGAAGGATTATTTTGAGAATCCTTATTGTTCTCATTACCACAATGATGACGATTATAATTTCGTCTATTGCCACGTCCACATTCATTGATACCTTTAGGGTGATAATTTTGTCTTATTTTAGATTTATCACATACTGCTACCACATTCTCTTAAGGGAATGTGAATGAAGCAAATTCAAAGGGACATGTTTCTACTTCTTGTACTCATAATCATACATGAATTTGATCATGGCAAGACATAGCAATTTTACCACTTTAGGTGGTTATAATTTCTTACAACTCTATTAGAGTTATAATCAAAGACTGTTGTCTTTGCTGGTATTTAAAATTAAATTATAGAATTTCAAGAATTTAAAAAAGAAAAATAAAGCAAAGTACTTACCTTAAATCCAGAATTTAATCATGAAGGAAGATCATGGAACTATTAACAATCATTATGCTCAATCCCACGTGCTAACAACGTGTAATAAAACAATAAAGAAGAAGAATATTGTAGAGAAAAGTAGGGAGATAGAATTGTTATTGATTTGGGATGAATTACGATGGAATAGAACCCCTATATTTATAGGGAAAAAGTGAATTAGCCATCAAATAACAAACCATAGAATATTTTTAAAATAAAGACATTCACCTTAAATACAATTCTATTTATAACGGATATATTTATTCTACTTTTTAAATTGGTTAATAAGCACTTTTGGTATCTCCGTTATTAGTAAATTCTGATTTGAAAGCACATGCCTTCAATTAAATGTAACATGCATTTTTGATCCTTTACTTGTGAATTTTCATAAATTCACTATAAAATTATTAATTATTCCACCGCTTGACTGTCCATTATTATGTTAAATTTATGTTGTTATTTCATATCTAACTGTAATATAATAATAAAAATAATTCAATTAAAGCATATTTCTTACATGAAGAAACTAAAAATAGACATTTTAATTATTTGGAGGTTAAATGTGTTGTGTCATATATCACATGACCAAAAATCAAAATTTACTTGAGGGGACCGGCTATTATCCCTTTTAAATTTTTAGTCTTTATTTATTATAAATGCTATGTTAGTTCACTTTTGAGTAAGCTTATAGTGTATCATAATCTTCTTATATTGTCTATCTTATATTATCAGAAGAAAAAATGTGTAGGCCACATGAGTAATAAAAAGGTATTTTTACCTATATGTAGTACATTAGAAGTTATTTACCCTCATTGTTTAGATTTTAACTCAATTACAAGTTGATATATAATTTACCAATTATATACAAATTAGTATTAATGAATATCCCATTATATTAGGAATTGAATAGGGAATTCCCTCTTCGTTCTCTCTCTCTCTCTCTCCCTCATTCTTTATCATTATTCTTATATTAGTATCTTCATGTGGATTAACCGGAGAAATGATACTAATGTAAAGTGAAAAAAAGAGAGAAGAATAGTACCTAGCAAAGTTCTTGCATCAGATCCTATAAAAACGAGGAAGTAAATAAGAAAGAAATTAGCTCTGATGAAGAGAATCATTTTAGTTATCATTCTTTTAGCTTTTTGGAATCAATAAACAAAATAGTATTAATTAGAAGTGAGTAGATTGAATTGAAAACTATGTTAATCCATTAAAAACTCTATTGACAGTCATTAAAAAGTTTCAAAGCTTTGAATTCGAAAATTGAATTTTATGAAATTATTTTTTGTTTGGATTGGGTGTTGTTGCAAACGATTGGGAATATTCGTTGGAGTTTGTATCTCAAATTTGAGACAATTTGGTGAAAATTCGAGGTGGTTTTGGTTGTAATTTCAGATTGAAATTCGAAAAAGAAGACATGAACAAATTGTATATATTTTGTATGTCGAATGTAGAAACGGTATACAAAATATCTACAACTTACATAATTGTATATAAGTTGTATATAAATTATATGTAAATAGTAGTTTTTGACCGGATTCTGTACAAAAAATATGTATTTATGTTGTAGATAAATTGTAGATTTTGACCGGATTTGTATATATTTTGTAAAAAACTTTTTTACTTCAATATGAAAATTTAGACAAAACCGGGTAAATAAGTTTAAATTTTTGTATATATGCGAAAAAGTCCATAATAAAAACACTCCATTGGTCATTATCTATTTAGA